GAGTTCCAGGGTCTTGCTAGTTTTCATTGCTCAGCTGCCTTTAGTTTATGTCCATGTGGCCTCTCATGGGAAGGTCACTCTGTCCTGATAGATTCAGTTTCTTATCAGCAAAAAGCTCTGGACCCACTTACATTTCCCAGAGATTTTCTGCTGTCCTGCTGACACTTTATGTAAATGAGACCTTAGAAAACTACTGTATATAAAATCCTTCTTGTTATCATTTGCACTCGAGTTCCAAAGGAATTTGGTGCTGTTTCAGGTTGTCTAAGGCTAGATCTGATTAAAGATAGGGTGATAGGCTGTGCTGCTGGACCATCACAAGTGGAATGGGATTTCCACCTTAGTTTTTAAATTCAGGCAGACGAGTTCAAATCTTGCCTTTACCAGTTGCTAGCTTTGTGACTTTGAGGAAGAAAGTTTACTTTTTTGTGTCCAATTTTCTTTATCTGTAAATAAGTTCAGTATTTATTTTAGGGTTTTTTTTTAAATGAATGAGTTAATTCCCTCATTTATACCTAAAATAACTGATCGCGTGGTTCTATACTGGTGCCTTGGTAGTTGATTACTAAGGGAGTTGGCAATGAAATGGTGGTTGGAGCCCCTGGATCATAGAGAATATATTCCAGAATATGCTTGTAAAAGACTGGATGTGCAGTGGATTTTTAGTAAATATCCATTCTTTTCCTAATCCCCATTGATTATATATATATTTACACTAATATATGAGCTATTTTTGTTGCAATTTAAATTTCTTTGTAGTATTTGAAATATGTAGCTATAACAAAAATATGTGAAATAATGATTTGATTTTTATTTTTCTTTCAATAAGCAAAACAAAAGAAAATAGAAAAGAAGGAAAGTTTTGAAGGACTAGAAATAATTTTATTTCCATGGAATCAAGACTCCATATTAAGTTTTTTCATTTTGTGGTTAAACGGCATGTAAAATTAATAGGTTGTGACTTCAGTGTTGATAGCTAGGTGAATTTCTTGTTATTGTTGTCTTTGATGAATTATTTGCACCAGATCATAAATGATGTGCATGCTACATATTGGAAATGAGGAAGAAATGGAGACATATTACCTCCAATGTATTTTGTTACCGAGTCCAAACTCATTCTTCTTGCCGCATCACAGGCCAATGAATTGGGAGATGAGGTGTTGGGGCAAGGAATAGGGACTTTATTTGAAAAGCTGGCAGACCCAGAAGATGTCAGACTGATTTCCTGGAGTACCCTCTTCCCCAAGTCAGAATTCAGGCTCCTTTTTTACTGCAAAAGGGAGGGGGTGTGGTTGGTTGTTGCAAACTTCTTGCTGTACCAATTTTTTGTCCTTGGAATTCTTTGTTCTTGCAGCTGTCCATGTGGGTCAAATCATGGTGTCCCTGTAAAACCTACAACAAAACAAAGGTTATTCTTTGTTTTGCAACTTGAAACTCTCTACATAAGTGCAGAAGAGCTAACATCCTTAAAGGTCAGAGCCCGGAGAATAGGCTCTCCTGTATATTTCAGGCTGAAGTCAACTTTCTTTCACAAAAGGTGCAGAGCTAGCAAGTCTGAGCCTAGAAAACAGGGCACAGGATTAAAGCCAAAAGAACAGATATAACACGGAGTCAGATTTCTTCTTTCCTATCACAATTTCTTTCTCCATCTCATAAATAATTTTAGTAAGAAACATAAGCAATTTTGTATTTTTGCTTCTTAATAACCGATAAGTTGGCTGACTACATTTTTGTGAGCAGGGATGCTGTGCGGGCCTTGTGGTCTCAGCAAACTCTTGTTGAGGGTGGTTGACCTCGCAACATGTCTAATGCCCCCAGGAGTGTTGGTGAGGGTCCTCCCAGCCTGGGGCTCTATTCAGGAACCAGCGTATGGGCATTGAC